CAAACAATTTAAGGTGATGATTACCAAAAAATAATAAGTTGTATGTAAAGATATGTACATATTAAGAGCGTCTGTCATATTTCTACTGTTTGGGTCATAGCAGCATATTATAAAGCTTTCCATATTTAAAGTTGTTTTATTGCTTCCTAGAAATATTGCTGTTTCTCTTACAATGGTGAAACAGCTCTTCATAAATGCACATCTGTGGTTGCTCTATATTTACTCAGATCAACTGGATCAAAGGATGATCTGAAGACTTGACTGTATCAAATGTGTTGTGGCTCCATGAATTTACTGGGTGTAGTTTGATTTTGTAAGTTGAACTTTTGAGAACATTATGTAGAACATATGGAGTCCCGAGTCGCTTAAATAGGTCCTACTTACTTCAACTGCAGATTGGAGCCAATGTAACTTTCAGGTCTGGTTGACGTTGTTTATGTCACTAGATTAAACACATGAATAATGTTCATTTATGATTAATATCAACAACTGTACAAAACAAATTAAAAGAAATTTGGATCAAAAGACTAACAATCTATAGAGTCAGTTTTATAATAAGCTTCAGTTATTATAGCTAGAAACATAGAGATCAGGCCCAATTTTATTTGACAAGACAAAGCAGTGCATAACTCAGAAGTGGAAGAAAGGAGGTAAATAGTTCTCCAAGCTTTGAACATAAAGACATAATACAGTAAGCAATTATGAAACAAGCAGTAAACATCACATTTTAGGGACCTCTCCACCTGCTTCCCCCATCTAGAGTTTTATTTTTTGCTCATGCTTTGTTTATAAAAACTGCCTACTCAGTGAGATTGGATGGAATGGGGATTTTCACGTCTTCTCTCAAAATGTATTTTATTGGATTTAGGTTTGAACTTTGACTGGGACTTTAGTGACAGACTGCTACATTCCAGGTGCACAAAGGAGCGTTATCACAGATCATTCCTCCCACAGTTACCAGACTCAATAACCATCACTATAGAGTATACTCCAAAGAAACTCAATTAGTATTCACATGATTATAAAGACAGATTTGATTAAAAAAAAAAAACAACACAAGAGGATATGATTAATCTTATGGCAACATCAAAAAGATAATATGGAAAATTAAGATGGCAAAAAAAGCAACCTTAATTTATTATAAATATTCCTCTCAACACAATGGCTCAGCAGCTCAGTATTTCAAACAGAAGAGTGAGGGTGACCTCTGCAGGCAGATCATGTCTTAGTAGTTTTAAACAGAACCGGTTCATGGCAAACCGAGTGGAAAACAAGTTGGGTTGTACCTTTAGGTGCACGGCGCTTCTTGGCTTCAGTAGGAACTGGCAGCTGTAATAAATGAAACACAAACAGGTGAAACGAGTGAATAAAAACAGGTACAGGACCAATGGAACACAAATTCACTGTTTCAGCATACAATTTCGTCAGCAGGTACTACTAAAGACATGCATCCAACACCATGAGAACAAGAAATTCTGTTTGGAAACCCCATTTCAGTCAGGAATATCGGTGGTCAGGGAAAATGATTATCAATCAAGCAACATTTGGTTGATTGATGATCCCCTGGAGAAGGGGAAGCAAAATTGAGATTCATTGTTAACACTACGACAGCAAGACAACAAGGTCCAAAGGGATCACATTTCACAGGTCAGTAAAAAGCTTTAATTAAAAAATATATAAATATAAAGAAAGTGTGTGTATGTTAGTTATGCTAGCTTAACTTTTATCACTTTAACATGTACTCTTGCTGCGAAGTTCGGAATATTTCAGCTCAATTTACACAGAAGTAAAGAAGTGCTTACTGAAGTTAGTTAATCAACCAGTTATTCTTCAGGCATCACTAATGATTGCAAAATGGAAATTCAGAAACATAAATCTGCAACAGACAGAATGTTCTGTTTGGTGTTTTTATGACCTTTTTGTGTGGGAAATGTTTTTGTGTGTGTGTGTGTGGTTAACTCCTGATGCACTTGAACGTAATCTTTGCTCGATGCTCCCGAGGATGTTGTTTATTGTTTGCCATGGCAACCGGTCTGCGTGTGATGTCAAGCAGACACAAAAAAATAAAAAAAATAAAAAATAATACAATCATCCGTTTTTCTACATTTTTTCCCAGGGCAAACTGCATCGTTTGTTCGTAGAACGTGGCGATATTCAGAGCAATCGTCAAAAAGGATGAAATATTTCATAAAGCATAAAGAGCCATTTTTGTTCAATTTTAAATTATGGCCCCTATTAATTTAAATTAAATTTAATTATGGGCCATTGTAAAGAGAAAGTTGCTTTGTTCTCTCTTGTTTCTAGAACTGACAGAAACCAAAGTATGGCTTTATTAGCAGAAAGAATATATATTTTACACATCCAAACATCACCCACATTTTATCGAATCCGGTAATATCGATGGTTTTGTGTCTTTATTATTTGCTATGCTAGAGTCGCATTATGTCTCATCTGCTATGTGTAAGTCAGCAGGACAAAGGATTTGCAAATCAGCTGAGGGAAAGTCAGAATCACATACTTAGAAAGTACAAAGTTTGCACTGACAAAGATTCATTTGGTTTATATAGAAGTTACCTATTCTGTTTTTGAAATGTTTAGTAACATATTGATTGCTGCAGAATCTCATGTTGTCAACGTTTGTTTTTTTTTTTTTTTACCATAAAAAGGCAACTATGTGATGATTCTTCACAAAAAAAAATATTACTATAAGGATTCAGCAAATACAGGGTGATTCCATGAATTAGAATATGACTGAAAAGTTCCTTTGTCAGCAGTTCCCTCACCAAGTTAAATACATTATATAGATGAGTCAGACTACATATGTTTTAACATATTTATATTTCATAGTATGTTCAACATCTCCTAAAAGATTATTTTCGAAAGGCAAACCTGATCAGAACGTATATTCCAATTTATTGAATAAGGTTGTATGGTATTCACATGTAAGTTTTGGCTTTATTCTTAGCACTGGAAAAGAAAAGGCCTTCCAGTAACTGTGGAAGTTATCACCCCCTCGTCCCCTGCTCCTCTTCCTCACCACCAACTTTCAACACAAAGTTACACCCTTGCAATGTCTGATGTGTGCACACAACCGGACAGTCAGTCCGATTTTGCCATTTAGACAAAATCGTTACTGGAATACAAGTGATTAAGAAGAGCCATCGTGGAGAACTGCTAATTAAGGAGAACTTACAACAGCTGAGTAGAAATTTAACACACGCATGCGCAATCCAACCGCCTTAAACCGTCTGCTTCTATACATCATAACGCTCGCGAAGCGTTCCGAATGCAACGGTGGCTTTAATGAAGCGGGTCGTAATGGCACACGTCTCAAAACCTCGTAACTATTACATAAGTTAATTGTAGTTTGCGGCACAGAACGCGGTGAGCTAAACAAATATCCAGTAGGACATTTGTTTCCTACAACTGTAAGCACTCCAGTTTGAGTTTTGCATCGAGATGAAGGGGATTAAATTTGAAAGTTGTAGCTAGCGGTCCTCATAAGCTCCGACTTAGCGGCAGCTAGCAGGCGTTTAAAACAGGCGCAGATACAGACCGTAGTTTCAGTAAAGGCGCTGCGTTATGCTCACGGAATGTCTCGCCAGCAAACGGCTCAGTGGCATTAACGTTTACCCCGCAAAGTCCAGGCTGAATTTATGACACACTCACCGCCGCGGCATTCTCCGCGTCCGCCATCTTGAGACGATCAACAGCAGAAGCCGTTGCTATGGTTACGAATGGACGTGTGCGGGATGACGTCTGTGAATGTTAATGAGGGACGCTGCAGCGTGAGGGGGAAAACAAGAGACAGAAATCACCTTTACAGATCAAAACCTGCAATAATGAAGGCATCATGAGCCTTGGAACTAGCAATATAATTTCCTCATCACCTTAGAGATTGTGCTCTCAATGTTTTATTTTTAGCTGAGAGTAAGTACAGCTTCTAAAATATTTGTAGTGGTTAAAAAAAAAAATCAAGTCTAAAGTAACTGTTTCAAATGTCCTACGTCCATGACAACATATCTTATGGCTCAAATAAATCATAACCATGGACGGTTTGCTGTTGCCATCATCCTTGTTACATAATAAGAGACCTGTTTTATGCTTACGTTTAAATTTAGATTGGTTTTAAGCATGTCAGTGCATTTTTTGTAGGAACATTAAGAGAAATGAACATCTTTAACCAGTCATGCTATGAGGAGATAGAGAAAAAAGCAAACCAAGATAACTGACTCGATGTCCTTTTCACTCATTGGCAAGTAAAAGTAATAAATTATTTAGTTTAAATCAGTGTTTATTGCTTGATCAAACAGCTATTTTCCAATACATGCCCATCCAGTAAATATAGTTTAAATAAACATATGTACATTTTGATCACAACAGGAAACTACAATGCAGTTCTTCCACAGACAATCATATTAAAAAGTTTTGAAGCTAGTTAAAAAGACACAAACATAATACCATAAATATAGAAGTCATGAGTTTTATATACAATTACATGCCCAGTCTCATAAATCCAAATAACCATGAAGTAACTTGCTAATATTTGCTAAGCAAGTATTCTGCTTTTTCAGCTCATTAGAGCATGTCCATCTAGAATTCATCAGTAATTTTGCACCAAACCTGAATGCATTACTTTGTAATTACAGGAAGGCTCAGTTATGACTGAAAACAGATGTTTCCTTCACAAGTAAATATTGAATAAAAACTTAGCAGCCCCCTCAAAAATCACATCTTCATTTACCCTTTTAGACACATTCCATCAAAAAGCCAAACCTTCATCCCATCACCTTCATTAGTAATCAGCTCAAGTACATGTCATATATAAAAAGACGAACAAAACAAAAACAAAAAAATACACACACACCAAATTTAAAGAGCAGAAAAACAGTAACAGAAAATTTATAACAAAAAATAAAAAACTTGGTACATAGTTTGCTGTAAGTACCAACGCTCAGATCAGAATGATTCTCAGGCTGCTTCATCCACCTCATTCCTGGGAGGCTTCCGGCGCCCACCGGAAGTAGCAGTATTTCATTGTAATTTGTAGGGTTTTTTTTCTAATCTATGTTCATAATAGAAGTTACATTTTTTTCTGTTATTGAGCAATATTTAGTAAAACTTGTTTACGATGCGCCGTCTGCTATCAGACAGCTGCTCAGTACAGAGGATCTTATGAGTTCATGAACACGATCGTTAAGTTTCGTAAAGGAATGACCGCAAATTAACAGCACTGCTAGCAGCTCGTTTCTCTGAAGAGCTGACAGTAATAAAGAAGAGAAATAAAGGTAATTCTGAGCTGCAGGTTTGTGCCGACAGTATAAAACAGCAGAACTACACAATATTAACTTGGTGTGATGGAATAAGGTGGCTAGGCTCTGGATGCTCTATTGTGAAGCTCAACTCATTAATAACCATACACTAATATCAGGTTTGTTCTTAAGGCCTCATTTTGGTTCGGCTAATGTGTTTTAAACCACCTTCAGATGGTTACACATTCCAACATATTGCGCACTGATAAAAGGCAGTCTCAAATGTCAAAACTACCAGGCCATGTTCAAGGCACGCTTGCGTCAACATTCTTGTTTTAGCCGTGTTGGAGATACAGAATTTATACACGTTATAATGCCATTTTGTGAGTTTTTGATTGTTCTTTTGGCAAATTTCTGTAAAATGATCAGTCTGTTCCGTACAACTAATTGTACTATTTAGTCGTGGCTTGCTAGTTAGAAAATACTAGCCCAAGTACTCCAGGTATTTTTCTGGAGCAGTTTAATTCCCTGGGTTACTGCTGAAGGCCCCCTGGGCAGCAGAGCTGGCAGCACTAGCGGCGGCGCTCTGGACGGTGCGGTTGCTCAGGACTCCCTGGGAAAACTCCTGCTGAGCCTTGGAGAAGCTCGCGCCTGTATTTCTGTACTTGGAGTGGACCTGGGATAACAATCATGAAGATTATGACTCATAGGTTATTCAGAAATGTACATTTGATAAAAGTCAAGATTTAATTTGCACGACATTTACCTGAAATACTCTGCCACCCAAAATGTTGGATATTTTCAACCCTTTATACTGCTTTTAAAAATCGTGTTCAACAAAATTTGACTTATGACAAAAAATAAGCCAAAACAAAAATTAGCTCCTTGGTGCAGTGACATTGTCCTGAACCCTAAGCAGATACGGAAAGACTCTGACTGCGGTAGTGTTCAGCCAGACCACTTTCTCCCAAAACCATACTGAATCCCTAATTTAGATGTTCAAACTTTAGATGCACTTATATGCCCCTGGTTAAGTAACATAATGTGTTACTGATGTTTTCTTTGGTTATAAAAACACCTGCAATGTAAAAAATGGGTAATGGGCAAGGCTTGCACTTACTATTTTCAGCAGGATGACACCCAAAATAGCGTTGACGGTGAAAAAACCAGCCACTACCATCATAACCACGGCAACTGCCAAGTTTGAACGAATCATGCTAATTGATGAGATCCAGCCACTGTAAAAACCAACAACAAAGAAACATAACCACGTGTTTGAAATTTTTCTCTACAGTCAATGCTTCACGTTTAGAAAAAAAACAACAAAAAAAAACGCTTCAACAAATTGCTGGGTTTGCTAGCATCCAAGCTATCCCTCCCAATAGTTGGAAAATATGAAACTCAAAAGAACAGAAGATGAAAAAGGCTTTCAAGGATTGATACACCACATGATGCTGAAAATAAACCCAAGAAGAAAGGCTCTGCACACTTACAAAAAGCACCCCACACAAGATAGGTCAACAGGAATCTGTCAAAGATATGCAAGAGAGCAGAAAAAAGGAAAGGAATAACCACCAAAACACTTAGCTGTGAGTTGTCCATGCACTTTTACAAACCTACGCACATCATCATGCTCATACATACTGAAGAACAAATGAAATCAATGAAAATCTACCAGTACTAAACTCACCTGTTTCCCCATGAGGGAATGCCCACTGATTGGATAATGTACACTGCCACTTGGAAGAAGAAAACAAAAAAGAAGAAAAAGAAGCTGAAGGAGCTGTCAGACCTAGGGATGAAAAAGAAAAACAGACATTGTACGTGTTGTGTAGCATTTAAAAGTTCAACTTTCATATTGCGGAAACACACAAAAGGCAGAAAGGGCTTAGGAACCAGTTGTTGCTAGAAGACTCTCAGCACTCATTGTAACAACTCTTCAACTCTGAACACGATGGGTTAAGCACCATTCATTTGACGTCAAGATTAAAGTACATAATGGTTATAGTTTCCATGATTATATACAATTACACCCTATTAATGACTCATAGCAACCTGAAAGATACTTCAAATCTGAATATTTCATAATTATCATATCTACTGATACTTTCAAGGTTTTATCTTCCAGATACATTGTTTCGCCATAAGTGGACAGCAACCGTCATATTGCACAGTAATGACGCCAGACAGAGTAACGTGGTGCTCCATCAGAATCACCAAGATACATTCAGATGGTGAATTTATTACTGGAATTACACACTGAAAGTGGGACAGAAAGAAAAGGGAAAGGAAAAAGCAGTACAAGCATTTTTTCACAATGAAAGATTTTGTCTCAGAAGGTCAATATTATACTCAGCTTAAAAACGGTGTGGGAAGGAATACATTTTTCAATGACGCTTATGATAGAAGTCAACTGCAGGGCGTCATGAGGAAAGAATGGATCTTTCTAATTTAAACATTGTCCAAATTGTTTTACGCAGACTGTTGAAGTTTGTGACACATGCATCCTTAACCTTCATAGTAGAGCTGGGCGCTTTTTTCTTTTAATTACCCATTCTCATGTCATAATAATAATTTTTAAAAATGATGCATGTGATAACTTATGGAAGAAAATAGTTTTTGCAGATTCAAAACTTACATAGGACTTCCATATTTCACCATGTGCAAACTCTACATCATGAATCTACATAGCAGTCAGACTCATCTTGCACAGTGTCGGGTTTAATGCATTTGCTAGATTTGGTTCTGCTGAAGAATTGCTTTACAACAATAACAGCCATCAGGCAAACAATAAATTTAGTAATAAACAGTTAAACCCTGAAAGCAAGAGAACAACTTGTGAGTGGGAATATTATTGCAATAGTACACAAGTATAGCTATAGTATTTTTGTCCTCTAACTGCATGTCTTTAAAAAAAGATAAAATTTCTATATTTAATACTTACAAGTTTAATTGGTTAGCATTAAAGAAGTGAAGTCAAGTTTCTAAAATGCTACACATACGTGCTCATACTTGAAAAATATTCATAAAGCATTCACAAAGGTTTTTCATGACACATTAACTTCTCTTTCGACATCATTTGGATCTGAACGGAAATCTTTACCTGAAGGCTTTGTAAACCGGCCTGTACCAGCAGACGAAAGACACAGGGGTGAAGAGGATGAACCACAGGATGGACAGACCGAAGTCCACACCTTTAGCAGCATCAGCGGTGAAATAAGCCAGGCAAGCCAGGATGTTGAGGAACAGGGTGGCGCTATGGACTGTGGTGATTCACGAGAAAAAAGGAGAACATTCATTACATCCATTAGTTTTAACACATGAATAACTTATTCCTAGATACATTAAAAAAAATCTCTTTGGGTTTTGCATGAGGGCAAACAGGGAGGCAGGCTACATACACATCCAGAGGTAGTACATTCTCTTGCAGATTCTGCGGTAGTCTTCGGGGATATCCTCCTCAAAGTTCTGATAGAAGCACGGCTTTATGGGAAAGAACCTTGGAAGAGGTGGCCAATTGTTTTCTTTAGCTGAAAAACACAGATTTAAACACAGGAGGGTGGAACTGGTGTTCTTACTCAAGCATTTTCTCCGCACAACTCCAGAAAAACACGGGCAGAGCTTTACTTCCTGGGTTGGAGTCCCTGCTGCTCCTGTTCTGCAGCTCCTGCTCCTTTCGCTCCAGCTCTGCGGCTTTCCTCTCCAGCTCCTCCTGCTGCCTGACCAGATTAGCCTGAGCAGCCGCTGCCGTAGCCTGATGCACAGCAGACTAATCAGTGACGGACAAGTTAGCGTTACTCAAAAGAAAAGGCCCAGCCGAAAACAACTCAAATAACTTCAGATTCATGTTAAGGTTAGGTTCTTCAATTTTTTTTCCTTGCAAATATATGGAATTAATCTCCAAATATCTAAGCTTTCTGGTGAAAATATATTTTCCTTATATGCAAAGACCTTAACACTCCATTCATACCCAAAAGAATTATCAAATATTTACCCATTTAAGTTGTCATGCACAGCCAGAAAACATAATTTCATTTCATGATGGGAAACATTCCCAACACAACGACGCCCAAAATGTTCCGACTGTTTTCCCACCACTTACTTGTGGACTTTGTTCCACAGAAGTCGGAAGTACAGCAGGTTGGGATGAGGAGGCTTTAGAGACTGGGATGGTTGTCCCAGTGTACTTTCCCTGTGGGACGAATAAAATAAATAAATAAATAAAAAAAGACACATCGTTTGCATGAAGCCCAGACATATAATTGATCTAAATGAACTTCCTTACATCTGTGACTGTATTTTCTTTTTGAGCATGCCAAGATTATGGTGGTACAAAAATGTGTGGTTTGCATTTCTTGTTCATGTGTGTGATTTTGTACGGCAGTCATGTTCAAAATATAATAATATGTAATTATTTAAAGGTCACCATTTCGTTGGCGGTGAACGGGTTATATTCTCCGGTGCTTTCATGGACCCCGCTGATAGCTTGTGTGATTGAGGCATCCTGGGAAAGGCAAAAAATAATAATAATTAGTTAGTTAATATAGATGTAATTTATACACCAGTAATACATAAAGCAAGTGAAGGTGACAACAATGGGCATCTTGAGCTTGTAGACTTCCAAGACCTCTCTCCCATTAAGCCTGTCAAGATGTTCTGGATGAACAAGTGTAATCCATGATCCTCACGACTTTCAGGACTTTAAGAGAATCTTCTAACATATTTGAACAAATTTCAATCCCATACCTTCAGCAGACAAGGTGTGAGCCATGTCTAGAGGTCAGGGACAGTTCAGGAGCATAAAGGTGGATTCACCAAGCCCTATGCCATGCCCAATCGGTGCAACGCAGTAATCCAAGAGGAGCATTTCAATCCCTGAAGCATCTCACTGCAGATTAATAATTCACAAGGCTGGAAGCCCAGCGATAGGCTCGTTGTGGCTGCAGTAATTATTTCATTAGATTGAGCAAGTCAAAGAAAACACGTCTCCGGACACATTTCTCAGGGCGATGAGAAAAACACTGAGGTAAACCAAAGAATCGCCGGAGGAATTAATAAGATTTCCTGTTTAAGCTTTGACAAAAAAAAAAAAAAAAAAAAAAAAAAGAAACTCTGGGACGTGGAGAAGATACGTCCCAGAGTTTCAATCCCTCTGGGACTGAGGGATTTGCTGCGATATGGCTTCCTCCAAACAGTGCACAGTGGATTATTATCCAATATCTCCACTTTGGTTTCGTTGGTCCAGAAGAGATCGGTCTACAAGTCTTGCGGTTCAGTCAGATGCACCTTTGCAAGCAAACATTCAGACCTAATGGTCTGAATGTTTGCTAACACCTGCTAATGATTCCGCTCACCTGCTCAGGTGAGCAAAACCCAGAGGAAGCTCGTATAAAAGCAAACAAAAAACCAAATCCCCCCCCCATTTTCCTAATTACTCGAGTGGTAAAGATAAAGTGGCCTACATTTAACTGAATACGTGTCTCACCTCTTGTAACAATTCTTGGCCAGGAAATACCAATGGCCGAACCCAGCAACCGACCAAACAGGTTTCCTTCCGCTCCTCGCCCGACACCTGCTGAAAGTGACGACGCGACACTCACCTGGAAGGGGTTCACGTCCACCGGGTCGGCGAACGGGTTGCTGTCAAGCCCCGACATCGTGAACAGGAACGGGTAAATGTTTTTTTTAAATTTATTTATTTTGCGTGGGGACAGAAGTGCGACAGGTCCCGAACTCTTCCCCCGAGCGGCTCCTGCCTCCTGCCTGCTCCCTCCGTGACGTCGGATTCAGTTCGCGCATGCGTGCTGCGACAGGCGAGAAACGTCAACAGGAGTTTGGCCCTCCGAGTCATTTCTAATCAATTAGGCGAGCTGTATTTATAGACGTGATGCAAATTGGTTTCAAATGTGCGCTTCTCGTGACCGTCTGCTGGCTCGTGTTTGTCGGGGCGTGAGTGTGAGAACACGCGCATTAATCTGACATTTATTAGTTTCTGAATATTTCTACTTTCCCCTATAAAGTAGAATTACCTGCAAGGGTTTTCCAGTTGGTTCCCTCTTGTGGAGGAATTCTGGATCATTGTTCTGTGGTGCTCCGCTTGCATCGCCGGATTCCAGCTGCCAGTCAAAAGGCTCTCCCCATTTAACTCCGTAGTACACTGAGGTACACTGGATTGTTATGGATAGCCAGACCAGGTTCTGTGGCTGCAGAACAAGCCCAAAGCATGACCCTTCCAACACCGTGCTCGACAGTAACTGGCATGATGGGTTTGCTGCGATATGGCTTCCTCCAAACAGTGCACAGTGGATTATTATCCAATATCTCCACTTTGGTTTCGTTGGTCCAGAAGGGATCAGTCTACAAGTCTTGCGGTTCAGTCAGATGCACCTTTGCAAGAAAAGAGGTTTTCAAAACAGTGCTGTAGTAATTTTTGAATGGACTATTTAATTCAAATTAAATTAATAGTACACCACGCTAAAGGTGGGAAAAAAAAACGTAGGAAATTATTTGATGTCAATTATCTATAGACTAGTGTTCAGAAAAATAATAAAGTGCATGAATTCTTCTTATTTGTATAGTTTCCCACTCAGAGCAAAAGTAATGTGTGAACTGAAAGTTTCACAAGAAACTTGAAGGACAACCCGTCCTTCACAGATGCAGTCCCGTTTCATTTCCAGTCAGCAGATGGAGAGAAAAAGCCAGGAGAGATAAAATGCACCGACGATTAAACCCAAAACACACATTAACAGCTGGAGAAATGTACCTTGTTCCATTTTGAGCAGATGTTTTGAAGCAATCAACAAACTTCTGAAAACTTCTTTATGAAAATGTATTCATTTACAAGGTACGTTTCACAAAATGAGACATTTGACATCCATAACTAGCACATAGCTCCCCTTCTTCACTTTTTCACACTGCAAGAAGAAAGGCATCCTGGAAAATATCCAGATCAATATTTTTGAGGTTGGTATTATTGCAAAATGTCAGTAAAAGACTTCAGTGGAATGTAGTTTGGTAAATATCTAGTGTATCATCTATATTTAAAAATAATCGCTCATAAAAGTAGTTAGCATTTGTGCAATTACAAAAACAAATTTGACTTGATGTATTGCAACAGCAGAATAAAAAAAATCCTTAAATACAGGCATACTGTAATAAAGACAGAAGACAATGTGATTTTATACTCTTTCTTGGTTGCTATTGACCAAAATGCTCACAGGAAATGGATGAGTAACAGTTACATTTGTCCGCTATGCCGTACTTTTGGCCTGTACAGTACATTACTGTTGTATGGCTGTCGAACAGTCGAATGCAGAAATCTCGTAGACGTCTGACATTCCTGAAGAGCCGGGATCCCATTGGCTGGAATACACGCCAGCTGACTTGGTCCCTTTAGTTGATGGTGCGTTTCGCCCCGTTAGTGAGGGCAGCGGGTTTGTGGGGGAAGCAGCACAAATGTAAAACACATGAAGTGGTTTTTGACTTTCACACTCATACGTACAGTCTTGCTCTGCACATGCTCAAAACGTGAACTTCCCGACCTGGGATACTCAAAAAAAAAAAAAAAAAAAAGAAAGAAAGAAAGAAAAAAAAGATAAATATTAGACTTCAACTACCCAGCAGGGGCAGGTGTTCCAGCTTTGTACAGTATTTATACCTGTATATTATAGGTCATAAAGCATTTCTGTGATAATAAAATTTATTAAATAAGAAAAAAAAAACAAAAACAAAAAAAGAGTCTTGTAATAAGAGTGTCCACTGCTGACACTGATTGTTTTAAACTGTAAACCGATAAAGAAGCTAATATTTAGGAGCTTAGTGTCCAGTGAACATCGGTGATGTCTGATGGAGTGTGGGTTTTTGCTCGTTTAGAGGAAATATCAATCTTTAGCTTTCTAACTCTGTAATATTCTCTGATAAGGAGTTCTTTTTATATATATATATTTATATATATATATATATTCCAACATTCCCTTTTCCCGGTCTTGCTGCTCAGTCTCGCCCCCTTCTGGTGCAGAGGACAGAGCTGCCAAGGCACTGTACTGTGAAAGCATGGTGGCGGTCGAGCCCTTCTTGCCTCCCACCGTCTTCAACAAGCAGAGGCTGAAAGTACGAGCGCGTTGGTGTTCCTGCGTCCTTCACACCATGAATTCATTACTACCGTACAACACGAGGTGCTGGGGTATGTCCGGAGGGTCCCTGCTGGGCCCACCGCCGCCGTCTCTGATGTTCCTCACAGCAGAATGTCTGGCACCTTTGAGTTTCTGCTTGCCCTTCTCTGGATTGTAAGTGCCGCGACTGGTGAACTGCGGCCGCTCGTCGTAGGCGTCGTCCTGCTCCCCCGTCAGGCTGCCGTCGAAGCTGTCCGACCGAGAGGCCTGAGTTGCGTTCGGGGGCGGGGCCTGAGAGCGGGCCGGGCCGGAGCCCACCGCGGGAGACTTGGAGTGGAAACGAAAGCGACGAGTGGCAGCGGCGGAGGAAGTGGAAGAAGACGCCGGGTGGAAGTGCGACACGGAGGAGTAGGAGGAAGCGGTGGAAAAATTGTCGGCCGAGTCCAGGGAATCGGGCTGCCGGTGTGGGGGGGCCCGTCGTTGAGAGTCCTTCCTGTCGGGTCTGCGAGGCCATGGGGAGGAGATCACTGGACCTCTCTCTGAAATGAGATCAGATGGTCATACATTCTGTAAAGAGCCATAAAAGATTAGATTTTTTTTTTTTTTTTTTTTAATTGGACCCAAGCCCACAGCCATTGTGTCCCGAGTCCAATCCGACTTTTCTAATTCATTTTAATTATGGATCCAGGACTTATTTTAATTCAGACTTTATTTTCATAATTTGAATCTTAAGGTAACTCCCTAGTTCTAGCTTTTGTTTAACATTCTCCAGCTCCATTTTGAAGCTCGTTGTAACTGCAGGGTGAGTCAAGAGCAAATCATCTGGGATTTAGTTTTCACTGAGATCCAGACAGAAAGGCTTGAACTTTCCCCAAGAGCTTGAGCTGGGCGGATGCTGCTCAGCCTTCCACTATGAAAACACGCAAGCCGCAATGCGATTATGTTTTGATTTTGCTACAAAATGACATACCAGAGAAGTCGGAAATGGCTTCCTCTGAATCCACGTTGAGGTTTTCGGAGCTGTCAGCCGTACCGATGGAGGCTTCAGACTCCAGGGTCTCGTCATCTGAAGCTCGCGGCTCGAGTGTCAGCATCTCCACAGTCAACTCCTCTCTGTTACGAACATTTCACCAGAAACATGAGCACGCATAATCATCAACGATCAATTTCTTGTTCTTTATTCTATACAGAGAGTGTCTAGTCCAAGGGTGTTCAAAGTGGAGCCATTTGCAGTCATTGGAATTATTTTTACGGACAATTCAAGAATGAATTCGGACAAAGCCATGACTTTTTAATCAAAAGCTACCTAGGAAAATGTTAGATGCAACACAAAGTCATAATCTCTCCCAATCTTTCTGCTTTCTTTCTATTATCATGGTAAATGTAGCCACATGTACTCATTGCATCATTTAAACTACATCTTTGTGCACCAAAATGTGCTTTTAATTGCTGTACTGCAACTTGCCTAAATCCAGCAAGTGTTTTCAAATGAAGTCTGACCTGATCCTGTTTTTATTGCTGAGAATAGACGAAATATGTTTTCAGTTTTCTTCAAACGAGCATAGAAAAAAATTCCTGTTTCTAAAAAAAGAAAAAATCTGATTATTTGTTTTATGAAAACAGCTCAGGCTTAGTCTATTGTTGAGTAAGTAGGGGGAAAAAAAATATTTTGGTGATTTTAAATCTTAAAATTACATTTGCTTTGCCTGCGTTTTGAGCTGACAATTTTGGCCCACGTGACAAAAAAAGTTTGCACACCCCTGGTTTAGTCTGTTCTAGGTCATTAACCAAAATAAAACCAACTTCTTTTTCTGCAGGCTTTCGATCTGCTCTGTCAGCACTCTGTCCTCGTGCTGCATGGCGGCCTGCTGGTGCTCCGACATGTCCACCAGTGACTCCGCCCTCTCTTCGCCACCACTCTCCTCCCTCAACGCGTCGGCTCTGGACTGCAGCCGAGGACTGGCCGGAGGCGACGGCATGTGGTAGGTCAGCCGATGGGCTTGACCTTTTCCCTGAGCATCACACACACACACACACGGCCTTAAAGATGTTGTCCAGAAGTGTATTTTTTGTTCATCAACCACTGAACACAGACAATGAAAAACACAGCAGAGGAAGGGAGTATGGATTTCCACGCAGGAATTCACAAAACACAACATTTTGGAAAAAACTTCCTAACTGAAATCATTCTGTTTATTGTGCTCTTTGTGTGTTTTGGTTGGTGACATCACAAGAGGCACAGGAATGGAGCCAATCAAGATTTAGTATTAGATTGTTATGTTCTCAGAAGAACCCTTGTTTTTGGTCTGTTGCCTTTTGTAACATCACCAGAAGCATCTGGACATGTCAGCTGGTTTTTAGCAGCCCAGGTCAATAACACAGTAAAACAAATAACCCTGAAATATTTTAGAGATGAACTAAATCTTAGATTTATTAGAATGATTTAATAGAATGATAAATAAAAGTTGCTTTGATTCTTTTTTCTCAACACCTTTCATCCATCAAAAACAGCAGTGATACATTCTCACATGCAGTAACTGGATCAGTAAGTCAGTACTGCAGATATATAATATATTATATATATATATATATATATATATATATATATATATATATATATATATATATATATATATATATATATATAATTCTCTCTCTATATATAATATATATAACATATAATCT